AGAGAGGGAACACAAGCAGGGGGAGTGGGAGAGGGAGAAGCAGGCTTCCCGCCGAGCAGGGAGTCCGATGCGGGGCTCGATCCCAGGACCCTGGGGTCATGACCTGAGCCAGGCAGACGCTTAACGACTAAGCCACCCAGGCGCCCCAAAATAGGGAAAATTTTTAAAACTTAGGCATGAAGGTGGCTAATTTTCTTTTTTCTTTTTCGGTCATTTCATTTGTTTGAGATCCATAGCAGACCAAATCCATATCAGCCATTCTCTCCTGGTCACCTACTCTCAGAAAATTCTGTCATTTCCCTCTAGTTAATTGAACTTAAAGGGGACCAGAGCAGTCTGGTCAAACCTTTATTTCTGCTGATAAAGGTGATTTTGTGCCTGGACAGTGCCCCACTTTCCCCCATCTTCATCTGCCCTGAAGACCGTTTGGGATTTATTGGCCAGAGGTGGCTGTTATCTGGTGGCAGTAAGCCCAGTAACCCCACTTTCTTGCTTTAGCGGTGTGCTGTGTTTCAAAGAAAAGTGCTGACCATGGTACTGCACCCCCTACAGATGGAGATGGTAAGTGAGCCTGCTGTGTGGCCCTCCAGAGGTCTGCCGTTAGACTCCGAAATACTGTCCCTTCTGTATCCAGGTCAGCTCGTGTAGAAATGGTTTCCCCAGCAGTCTGCGCTAGGGGAGATTTCCACCTGGTTTATCTCTCTGCTGGCCCTCTTGCTGTATTCCTCCAGCATACTCCCACCGGACTGCCTTTGCCCTTGCTGTTTCCTCCGCTAGAATAACTCTTCTCCCAACTGTATCCATGGCCTGTCCCCTTGCCTCATTCACATGTCACCTCTGAAAGGTCTTCCATGACCAACTTAGAAAAACTAGCCACCCCAGCCAGCCACTCTGTGTTCTTCCTTTGCTCTGTTTTTCTTCATAGCACTTAACACTGCCTGACATTGTTTTACTTCATGTATTCCCTGTTTCCCTAACTAGGATGTAAACTCCCATCAGGGAAGGGACTTCATCCTATTCCTGTTACATCCCCAGGAACTAAGTCAGTGCCTGCTACAGTGGGGTCTTCAAATACTTCAACCACAAAAGATCCTCAATGTTTGCAGCTTTTTGAGTAACTGTTCAGAGAATCTCCTGTTTCCCACTATTTTTCAAACTTCAGCCAGGTGCATCTTTAGACCTGCCATGGGCAGGGGCTTCTGCGCCTCTCAGGCAGCTGGAGGGCTGTCTCAGGACTGCTCCAAGTCAACCTGGGGTACTCAGCTTTCCCTTACGTGGTGGCCTGCTCTTCTCTGTTCCGAAAGGATGGAGCTTAACATTCTGCTCTCTGCTTACAGATGAAGAGATGATGGCCACAGAGGTCGCCCCCTCCACCATGACGGAGCTTACAGACCTGGGCAAATGTCTAATGAAGCATGAGGTGGGTAGAGGGGGCAGGGGAGGTTTTTCTGCTTTCCGGGTATGGCGCCAGCTTCCACTTTTCTCAACCTGTGATGCCATCAAAGAATTCTTTTGGGTAATGCCACTTTATATGGGTTAAGTTCCTGGTTCCTAAAGCCTCCAGAAAACAGTGGGAAAGGTCAAGGTGTCTCCCATGCCGGCATGGGCAAAGGCTTTCAGAAAAACACACAGGCATGTTACGGTGTTCAGCACCCCCCCCCCCGGCCTGAGCTTGGTCTCCTTACACATAGGTTTTCTCTTCTGTATGGATTATTTTTTCTTCTTTTTGACTGCCTGATACACAGAGAGGGAATAAGCTCGTCTTCAGTAGCTGCTTTTATCACGTTCCTGTTTACCTATGAAAACTCTAGCTCCTCATGCATAGGCCTACTCAGAAAATTGTGTTCATTTTCTCATTGTAATCCTTCATCCTTTCCCGCTAGGATGTTTGTACGGCGCTATTAATTACAGCCTTCAATTCCCTTGCCTGGAAGGATACTCTGTCCTGCCAGAGGACGACCACCCAGCTCTGCTGGCCTCTGCTCAAACAAGTATGGTTAATCACCCCTTCTCCTCACCCCTTATGAGAGGCTGGGGCCATGAGGATTCATTCGGTTGGAAGAATTGGGTTGCTGGGGCTCTCTGAGGGTACCTCTTTGGCCCTGAGCACAGCTGTGTCCCCAGGTGCTGTCAGGGACACTGCTCGCAGATGCTGTCACGTGGCTTTTCACCAGCGTGTTAAAGGGCTTACAGACGCACGGGCAGCACGACGGCTGCATGGCTTCCCTGGTGCACCTGGCCTTCCAGATCTACGAGGCACTGGTGAGTCAGACAGCAGGGAGGCCGGGTGCGCTGCAGCTTCAGCCCTCGGGGCCTGCTCCTGGGCAGTGGGGCCGTCATAAAAGTCGGCAGCTGGTGCCGCCTCGAGACATGGGTGTGGCGGGGGATGGGAAAGGTGGCAGGGCCCCGCCTGCGCCATGGCGTAGTTTTATATACCCCCACTCCACAGCGTCCCAGGTACCTGGAGATCAGAGCTGTGATGGAACAGATCCCGGACATACAGAAGGACTCTCTGGACCAGTTTGACTGCAAGCTGTTGAACCCCTCTCTGCAGAAAGTGGCTGACAAGCGCCGGAAGGACCAATTCAAACGCCTCATTGCTGGCTGCATCGGGGTAGGTCACGCGCCTCCCGGAATGCCTCCGCTAGTGCTCCCAACCGGCTGGACCCACCCTTGTGGTCTTCTTAGACCATGTGTCTGTGCAGACCAGAGACCAGCTGGAGTCATGCTCTTTCTTTTAATTTTTTTTAATAGATTTTATTTATTTATTTGTCAGAGAGAGAGCACAGGGAGAGGGAGAAGCAGGCTCCCCGTTGAGCAAGGAGCCCAATGTGTGGGACTCGATCCCAGGACCCTGGGATCATGACCTGAGCCGAAGGCAGATGCTGAACCGACTGAGCCACCCAGGTGTCCCAGTCATGATCTTTCAAACAACCCGCTACTCCGGGCCCAGCATCAATTCTTATTTGTTTTCCACAGAAACCCTTGGGAGAGCAGTTCCGAAAAGAAGTTCACATTAAGAATCTTCCCTCACTTTTCAAAAAAACGAAGCCAATGCTGGAGACGGAGGTGCTGGACAACGAGGAGGGTGGCCTGGCCACCATCTTTGAACCCTGAATCAAACTTTTGGGCATTCTTCCTCGGCCTTTATTGTCATCTCTTCTTCCCCTTCATAGCTAATCTCTAGGCCCCTCTCCACTGCCACCTCACTTTGCACCACTGTCAGCCTGGAGAGAGATCCAGGTCTGGAGCTGGAGAGAGGGGGCCCGGTGCAGGGCAGAAGTAACAATACCTGAGGTATCAAGAAAGGGAGTTCATGCTCACACCATTCCATCTGGATCTCCCAGCTATCTCCCCTTCTACTTGGAGTTTCAACTTTTCCAAGAAAGAAAAGCTAGAGCAGACTGGCCCTACTCCCCAAGCCCTCCGGCCCCCATGTAGCCATACACCCGTGTAGAGCGGTAACTCGGGGTGCTAACACCCAACGCTGCGACTAGCCAGGCTTGCACAGAGGCTCGGTCCGCACTGCTTGCGCCAGAGAGTTCCTCCTGGGCCGCTGCAAGTCCCACTGAGCCCCCTTACTGCTGGGCTGGCAGAGAACCTTCCCCATCCCCCAGGGGCATGTCTGGGTCAGGTGCTGAGTGCTGAACTGAATGTGGCCAGTTCCCTCTCTGTTTTGAGCAAGAATCTGGTCACCTGATGGGATCCCCGGTACAGGCTGCCGCCAAGCTCTGGACGCAGTGTCAAGTGTAGTACCATCAGGGACCACAGCTGGGCCAGGATCTGGAGTGCTTTCTGACATCCCCTTAGAGTTCACACGTATTCCATGCAGTCCCTCAGCGCGGTTTCCCCAGCCCCAGGATCCACTCAGGCATAAGAGCCACGGTACCCTATCTAGTGTCATGTGATGCCGTTGGCATCGGAGGATAACGTAGACCAGCTAGGCTCTGTCTGTGATGAGCAGCTAGCAAAGCCACTGGTCTCTTCTCGGACTAGTTGGGTCCAGGTGCCTTCAAAAATCTCATGGTCTTTCAGGTCCCTGGTCACTCTCATGGACCATTTCCAAAAGAAAAGAACATATGCCTTCCTATCACAACCTGTATTGTGAGGCTTCACTCTGTTCTAGAGGTCACTGGATGGCCCTGTAAGCAGAGGGGACATGAATGCAGGACCCTAGCCTTGAGTCCCTGCTGGCCATAGACAGCCTTCATCTGTACGGAAACCAGATGAGAGCGTCTGCGTTCTGTAGGAGGAGGCCTGTCATCCATGCAGCCCATTGACACGAGGGTTTCTGGGGGGTACTGAGCAGAACAGCCTGGGCGCAAGCTACAGCTGTGAGCTGGTGGCACCCGGGCAGGGTTGGAGAGAGGTGAGCCTGCGGAAACAGGACTTGGGGTCCTGTGGAGCTGTTTCTGTGGCACAGATTTGCCCCATGCCCTCTTCCTGAGCGGTGCTTTGGGCCGCTTCCTGTCCACTGTGAAGGCCGTCTCCAAGTAGGTCTCCCTGCAAACCCGATGGCTGCCTACTCCTCTCTGGTTGGGGCTGTGGAGGGCATAGTTGTATTTATTGTGCTGTAAGATTTTTAACATCCTGTGACTTCATGCTAGAGGTTTTCTATTGTTTATAGAACTTTTTGTAGAAACATTAACTCTAAAGCGCATCTGCATGTCAGTAAAGATCTGTTTCATACAGAAAGGGCCCCATCTGCCTTTTTCAAACCAGTGACCTCTAGTGTCACTGCTCATGAGCATATCCTGCCAAGGGGACTGGACAGGAAGAGCTGCGACTGATGGACCAGCTTTCTCAAACAGTATGCCAGCCAGAAAAAGATTTCTATTCCCGACAGACCTAGACCAGGCCGCCCATACCATTCTCCCGGCGTCCTCTGTGGCCACTGGGCTGGATTCGGAGGGACTGTTCAAAGGGAACTGCTGCTGTTCCTTGTGGGACTTTTTTTTTTTTTTAAGATCTTATTTTTAAGTAATCTCTACACCCAAGATGGGGCTTGAATTTTACAATTCTGAGGTAAGTGTCACCTGCTCTACTGACTGAGCCAGCCAGGCACCCACCCTTGTGTGACACTTGATAGCAGGGTGACTTGGTGGCTGCGGACCATCCTTTTTCCTCAGACACTCCCTCTGATGATCCAGGAAATGGTAAGTGGCACACAGCAGCTTTCTGTGGTCCAGCTGAGCCCCCAGAAACCACCTCAATTTGGCATTTCTCTTAAGGCTTCAGACGGACTTGGCCCTGACCTGCAGTGACACCTGAAGCCAGTGTTCCCAAGGGCTAAATAATGCCAAACCTCTTCTGAGGGGAGGCCCCGTATTTTTGGGGCTAAAACCCAGGAAGTAGTCTCTAACAAAAGGAGTTTTATTCCAGATGTGAATTTATTTACATGAAGGCCTTACGAAGGCACAAGGTGACGTTTTGTGGCACATTCAACAAAACGTATTGACTGAAAATAAGGCTAGAATTGTCCCAGAAAACCCAGGACCTCCAGTCACACCGGACTCTGGGGCAGTCCTGTGAGGGCAGGTCCGGCCCTGAAATCTTCAGCTTGGCTCAGGAGCAGCCCAGCCGTGCCGAGAAGTCCGGTGCAAACCTCAGTCCGTCTGAACTGCATCCAGTTCATCCAAGAAGCGCCGGCACTTCCCCATCAGTACCTTGATGGCTTCGCTCACCAGCACGGCTGCCGGCAGCACCCCTGTTGACTCGACAGAGACTGGCAAGCAGAGGGGCCCCTGAGCCCACGTGGGCCCGCACCGGCTCCCAGGCTACGTCCCTGCCTGCTTCCGACCGGGACTCCACGGGAGCTGCGGCGCCACCCACCCACCCGCGCCCCCCCCAACCCGATACTCACAGATGTAGTGGTCGCGAACCCGAGCAAGTCGTACAAGCTTCTTCAGCTTCTCGTTCCGGAACACTTCCCTGCTGAAGGTATCTAGCCGGGGATTGGCAACTCTAGCCACCTTTTTACCTAATGAAGACAAACTATGTTCTCAGTACACGAGCCCCGAGCTTTTCTTTCTGCTGCCTTCACAGGAAATATACTTTAGGTCCTGACCTGAATGCATCTGGTATCCCAGATGTCCTACCTTGGGCTTCTTGCACTTCAATGACCCCAGGTGAGAAGCACCGGCTCAGCTCCTCGGCTGCCTCCCCTTCCACAGGTTCAAGCAGGGTGATGTCCGGCAGGAGCCTGTAACTGGCTGTTGCCACAGGTGAAAACTTGGCATGATCTTTGCCTGGAGGGAAGACCGAAATCAGAGCCTGCGGGGACACCTTCACGTTAGACAAGCCCCTAAGAGCAGCGGCCCACTGGCTTTCTGCCTGTCAGGACCTCTCAGCTGAGCCCCTTAGTCACACCTCGCCCCAATGTAGTCACACTACCCTCCTGCCCCAGGCAGCCCGCAGGGTTCTTACCAATGCCCTTGACACAGTGCATGAGCAGGTCAATCTCCTGGCCAGGCCGCAGTTGGGCAATGAGGATATCATCGTGCACTGGTCTGATGGTGCCCTCTGGGAAGAGGTCCGCCTGATTCCCCAGGGGCACCCATGTCATGTGCCTGGTGTACACTGGAGAAAGCACATCAGGAAAACCTCAGTCCTTAAAACTAGCACCCAGCAAGGGGTGGGCCTTCTTGCTCACCCTACCACTACTCACCTTTGTGGTTCACATAGAGTTCGTTGGGGTCGGAGGAGTCTTTAGCAGCATGGGGGTTCCGCGTGCACCTGACCTGAAGCCGAAACTGCAGGGTATCTATCTCTGTGCCTTCTTCATCTCCTGAACAAAAGATGGAAGTGGCAGCTCTTAAAGAACGACTGAATGTTTGGGCGCCAGGCACTACACTGCGTGCATTACTCTACATTGACCATTTAATCCTCTGGACAAATTTCAGAAGGCCAAGGGCATGTGTTCACACAGATCCCAACAACTGATGTACCAAAACATTAGGAACTTGCTCACGGTCGTACAGTAGTCAATCCAGGATCTGAACAGAGGCCGCATGACTCTAGAATCAACTTCGGAAGAGAGCTGTTCCCATTTTGCCACAATTTCATTTTCTCAAACACTGACCTTGGTTCCGATACTCAAAAAGACGGGGATCAGCATGAATGGGAATGAGCCCCAAGCGATGAGCAAGGATCTCATCCTGAACAATGGATGTGTTGTTGTACACCAGGACCTTTTCCACAGCCATGGTTGGCACCTGCCCAAGAAAACAGAATCATTCAGCTACAGAGACCCTACAGACTCCCCATTTACTCCCACTTCCTGACATGGGGGGACCTCTTCCTTGATGAAAAGTTTATGAGGAATGAGCAGGAGGAATGCTCAGCAAAACTGCAAGAAAACCAAAGGAAAGGGGCAACTTGAGAATTCTCCAGGTGAGGTGATGACACAATTTCCCATGCAACTCCACCCTTGCCACTATGCCCACCGATAAATACCTCAGCTAATAAAATGCGTCGAAAAGCATTGGCAATGGCTGCGTCAATTCCCACCATGTCGAACTCCAATGAGTTTTCATCCAGGTGCACCACATCCACACGGAAATTCTGCAGGGACAGAAAATGCACTACATGAAGCTTTCTCTCTGTGGAGTCAGTACCCTCCCCCTGGATATCCCCCCCCCCACGTGTTCTCACCCAAGAACCTCCCTTGGCCAGATGTCCCTCACAGAAGTTCCTTTCTCTCCCAATCCTTTATTATAATAGTTTCTTGAAAAGTCTCCCTGTTTTTATCCTCTATTCATTTAAAATCCTCTGTATTATGGCCTCCAGCCAGACCATCCAGAGACTGTCCCACTAGAGAACAGGCTTCCGTACTGCTTCATCTAGTTGACACTACTCAATCCTTATCTTACTAGACTCCTCTGTTGCATTCGGCATTGATAGAATCCCTCCATTTTCAAAGTCTGCCTTGGTTTCTGAGCACTAATCTTCTGGTTCTCTTCCTCCTCCTGAATCCTAAATTCACCATCTTCTACCCACTCCATAAACGTCACTATTTCCCAGATTTTTCTCTCTCTCCAAAGTGACCCCAAGCACATTCATGGTTTTAACAACATGTACTGAAAACTTCCAAATTTATCTCACTTCTGATCTCATTTCAAACACACGTTCTACTAGCCTGCTAGATTTCTCCACATGCAGGAAACTTAGTGCAGCATCATTCCCCTTCCCCAGACCTATTTCTCATCAGTAAATGGCACCACCATCCATTAAAGAAGTTCCTCATGCTAGGTCATTTTACACTCCCTCCTCACAGCCGCCATCAAAGCAATGACCAAATTACCTTCTATCTCCCCTTTGCTCTATTTTCCTGATTATAATCTTAGTTCATGCCTTCAACCTCCGCTCCTGTATGCAATCCTGTCACAAATCTGACTGCCCTATTTGATCTTTGATTCATTCTCTCCCAGCCATTACGGCTGCAAATCAGATCACATCTACTTCAGAGCTCTTCAAAAGCTCCCTATCAGTATTTAAGATGCACTTCGATCTTGCCTACCACTCATGCTAGCACTTTACATTCTAGCAATAATAAACTGCTAAGACATTCCCAGAACACAGTTTGCAAAGCCTTTATCATTTAGCTTCTAAGTCTTAGTTTCTCCTCCCCCCTCCCCTGTTCTCAAATTTTACTCATCGTTCAGGGCTCAATTCAGATGTCCTCTTCAGGAAGTAGATCTTCCAGACCGCTGCCCCGCTTTCCATTCTAGATTAAGTGCGTCTGCGGGATCACCCCACCCCTCATTGTCCTTATCGCTACGAACCACCTTTACCACATTATACTGAAATCATTTATGCGCGCTCTTCAACAAAACTAAACAGCTTGTTCGCCGAACAGAGCAAAAACCGTGTACACGGAGCTCCTAACACGTTGCTCAATGAACGATTTATAAACCGAGCGAACCCCAAGGGCTGCTTCCAGGACACAAGCTGCTCAGATCACAGGGTCCGTTCCTAATACCCTCTCCAGCACCACCCACCTTCTCGAAGCGGTCTTGGTCCCAGGCATCATCATAGCCCGAATAGTTACCGGGAAAGTCGGTGGTATGAACCTAGAGCAAAAAGAGACGAGTCTGTCTGCGAAGGGGCAGGTAGGACAAGCCCGCCCCAACTCATCCCTGTTCCACTCTCTTTTCTCTTCCCGAGCTCAAGGCCACAGGCTTACATTGCGAACCCCGAACTCCCCTAGAACCACGCGGGTCCGCATTTCTTGCACCGCCCGGGCTGCCGCCATCTTCAACCCCTCCACGTGACTGGGGCAGCAAAACTGGCGCGTGCGTCCCAGCCGCCCTCTTCCGTCTCCGTGGCAACGCACCGCCTCCCGGATTCTTAAATATCGCGAGACTCTGTCCGTCCTCCGTCCACGTCCCCAGCTTCCGGAAGTCAGTTTTAGCCAAACATCCGGGTTTCTCCTTATTGCGTTCCGGCTGAACCCACCTCTCTTTCTCGACCCTAGACATCTCCGTCCCTCAGGCCCACGTCTCTCCCACTCCTCCTCCGCGCGGGGAACTAGCGCGGGCTTCAGCGACGGGAGCCTTCGAGGGACATGGCAACTACGGCGGCGCCGGCCGGCGGCGCCCGAAGCGGGGCTGGCCCGGAATGGGGAGGGTTCGAAGAAAACATCCAGGTAATCGCCCCCAAGGCTCCGGCTGCTAGCAGCCCCAGGGCTGGCAGCCGTCCTGAAGTGTCGTGGGGACTCTCCCTGGGAGCTTGGAAGTCTGCTCCATTTGCAACACTTGTTCTCTCCTTTGTATCTTGGTGTACACGAAAGGCTGTGGGACTAGTGCTGACCTGAAAGGTCCAGACTGGTACTCCAGCCAGAGGGCCTCTGTCTCTGGGCCCGCCTGCTCTTGCTTTCGAGACAAGTTTGTTGATCGGGGTCAGGCGTGGCGAGGGAGTGGGCGGTATTCACTGGCACTGGCTAAAACCATGCTGTGTGCACAGCCTTATTTGGGGGATGGAAAAGACAAAGGAAATGGGCACTTTTGCGGCCCTCTGAGGATTTGATAGGGAAGGTAGCAGAAAGATATATATGCAAGACAGGGATTAGGTTTCCTAGGCTAGAAAAGGGGGAAAAGCCAGACAACCAAGGGTTCTGAGAACAAGTGAGAGGAAGAGAGCGGCATGATCTATGCAGATTCCAAGCCATATCCCCGGCAGTGGAAGAAGAAAGTCCCAAAAGCTGGGAGGAATACAGGAGGACATACGGATGGAGCAGAAAGATCCTGCACTCTAGAAGCCATTTGTCTTCACAGGGTGGGGGCTCAGCTGTCATTGACATGGAGAACATGGATGATACCTCAGGCTCCAGCTTCGAGGATATGGGTGAGCTGCATCAGCGACTGCGGGAGGAAGAAGTAGACGCTGATGCAGCCGCTGCTGAAGAAGAGGATGGGGATTTCCTGGGCATGAAGGGCTTTAAGGGACAGCTGAGCCGGCAGGTGGCGGATCAGGTAAGCAAGACTGAATCCATAGTAGGTGGGAAAGTATACCTAGGCAGGCCCCAAGTGCTGGAGTTGGTGAAGTTCACCCCACGTCGTCTAACCCAACAGAACTATGTAGAAGGCCAAGAGAAAAAAGAGCAACAGGGACTGTAGCCAAGAATCTCTCTCACAGTACCTACCCACCCCACTTCCGTCTTCCTTCCTCCAGATGTGGCAGGCAGGGAAGAGACAAGCCTCCAGGGCCTTCAGCTTGTACGCCAACATTGACATCCTGAGACCCTACTTTGATGTGGAGCCGGCCCAGGTGCGAAGCAGGTGAGAATCCTTCTCCTGATAGAAGCTGCCCTCCTCATACCTAGTCCTTTATCCAAACTACAACCAGCTACCAAGCCCTGAGGCTCCCTTTATCATTGCACCTGTCTCCCAGCTACACCATCGCTCTTACCAGTCACAGAATAGGACATGGTGGTAACACATTGCCTTCCTCCTCCTCTTTATCTAGCAGACTACTCTTGTTCCCTCAACACGCAGCTCAGATGTCACCTTCTCTGTTCCCCATTCCTCAACCCCCATCCCCAGTTTGTCCTCTCCTGGTGATCCTAGAGAACTCTCTGCTTTCCTCTAACAGATGACACCTCAGCAGTGCTGTACTCTCTTATTCCTGGGGCTGGCTCCCCAGAGACCGCCTCAAAAACAAGCTCTGTTTTATTTTTTATATTCCCAGCACCGGAACAGTCTCCAAACCAGAATATCAGTGCTTAGTTGTTGAATGACTTTTCGAGAAGTGGATCTGATTTTGGCTTGGTTCTTTGTTCATCCTTTAAGCAATGCTCATCAGACACCCAGTACCACTTAGCAGCTATTTATTGACCATTTGTTCTGTGCTGGGCACCGTAATGGTTCTGTCTCATGGAAGACAGAGAGTGAAGGTAGATGGGAGCCTTGCCCTCCCGTGCCATTACAGTTCAGCACTCATTTGCTCTGATGGGATCCACAGGAAGGACACCTGACCCAGAGTAGACTAGAGGGTGGGACAGGGCAGATTTCCCAGAGGAGGTAAGATCTAGCCAAAATCCAAGGTATATTATTAGGAGCTGGCTACTTAAGAAGAGAGTGGGGGAAAGTGACTTGTACTTTTATTCTTTCTGTGTGGAATTTTTATACCACTTCAAGGCTGTTTTTCAAGAAAACGGTCAGCGGTGCTCTGAGGAGTGGTAAGCAGGAAGAGACAGGAGACACACTGGTTCCCTCAAGTAAGACCTTTCCCAGGGCTTCACCATCACAGCCCTGAATTCTGGGCATTCTCTGCTGAGGTTGGCCTGTCTTTTAAAGGGGAGCAGGTCAAATAGGTAAATCGTCAAGTGCTCTCCCAAGGCTCCAGGCAGGCTTTCTGAGTTCTCCGTGCGTGTCAGCACGGTATCAGAAGGTCGTCCTTCCTGGAAGCATTTCTAGGGACAGGGAAGTGATCTCCTCATTCCTTGTCTGTCTTTACCCCCCTCTTCTCCCTTTACCATCCAGCATGTTCTCTGGAGTTAGAGATGAATAGGATTCAGGCCCTCCAGAACCTCATAGCCTAGTGCCGCCTTGGCTCTCATCTCTCCTCTCCTCTCCCAGGCTCCTGGAGTCCATGATCCCGATCAAGATGGTCAACTTCCCCCAGGTGAATACCCAAGGTAGCATGTCTGGAAGAGCCAGGGGAGGCATGAGGGCAGAGGGTGGGGCCACCAGGCGAAGCCTAGGAAGACATAAACAGAAGAGCCATTGTACCCTCCAGCCTGAATGAGTTGGTATGTTGACAGAAAATCGCAGGTGAACTCTATGGACCTCTCATGCTGGTCTTCACGCTGGTTGCCATTCTCCTCCATGGGATGAAGACATCTGACACCATTATCGTAAGCAGGACAAAGGACTTTGGGGGTGGCTGAACTAAATCGAAAGCTGCCCCAGGAGAGGATGGTGGAGTGAGGTAGAGGCGGCCCCTGAGGAAAGCCCTGGGGGAGGCTGAGAGGCCTCCCAGGACTAAGCAGAGCGTTCACCCCACAGCGAGAGGGCACCCTGATGGGCACAGCCATTGGCACCTGCTTCGGCTACTGGCTGGGCGTCTCGTCCTTCATTTACTTCCTCGCCTACCTGTGCAACGCCCAGATCACCATGCTCCAGATGCTGGCACTGCTGGTAAGAAGGAGTCCAGCATGGTGGCGGGCAAGGGTAGTCTTAAAAAAAGAGGAGCTAGGCCTTGGTCTGCACCTCTCCTGGGGCCCCAGGGGCTGGAATGGGATGAGCTGGCCAGGGGATCATTTCTTTCTCAGGGTCCTCATGAGAGCTCAAAGGCCAGCCCAGCCTGAGTGATTTTAGTGATTTTCCTCTCCGCCCTTCTGTTTCCTAGGGCTATGGCCTCTTTGGGCACTGCATTGTCTTGTTCATCACCTACAACATCCACCTCCATGCCCTCTTCTACCTCTTCTGGTTGCTGGTGGGTGGGCTGTCTACCCTCCGCATGGTAAGCTGGGCAAGAGGGTTGCCAGGGGTGGGCTGACCTCCTGGGGACTTTAGGAAGACAGCCCACGGCTTGGGCCGAAGCCCACAGAGGGCTCTGAATGCTCTGGGCAGGAGTGTCTTCACACTGCTGCCTTTGGGGCCGGGCCCTCTGAGTCGTATTCCTGTGGCCCTAGGTGGCAGTGTTGGTGTCACGGACTGTGGGCCCCACACAGCGGCTGCTGCTCTGTGGCACCCTGGCCGCCCTGCACATGCTCTTCCTGCTCTATCTGCACTTTGCCTACCACAAGGTGGTAGAGGGTGAGTGACAGGAGGGCCTGGGTGTGGGGGAGGGAAGCAGCCTCGGAGGGCAGCGCCAGGCCAGCTGTCGCTCACCTCCCGTCCTCTTGCTTTCAGGGATCCTGGACACGCTGGAGGGCCCCGACATCCCGCCCATGCAGAGGGTCCCCCGAGACATCCCTGCTGCGCTCCCTGCTGCTAGGCTCTCTGCCGCCGTGCTCAATGCCACAGCCAAGGCTGTCGCGGTGACCCTGCAGTCACACTGACCCCACCTGAGACCCTTGGCCGGCCCCCATTTCCCCATCTCCGGAGCAGAGGAAGATTAAAGAACAGTACTGAGGCCGTGTGTCTCTTCGATGGGGTCTGCAGCTGCCTCTGAGCTGTAGCCGCTTAAGACAACTCCTTGTCGCCTGTGGGCCTTCTGGAGGGCGCAAGCCCTGGAACCTCTGGCCAGGACTGCAGGGCTCTGCAGCCAGTGCGGAAAGTGGCTCAGCTCCTCTGAGGCCCTCTCTCCACCTACTCCTTCCTCCCTCTTTATCTCCCCCACATTGTCTTGCTAAATATAGACTTGGTAATTAAAATACTGATTGAAGTTTGGAACTGCAGCTGCCCTTCCAGTGGTCCTCCTTGCCACCTTACTTCCTGTACACTTTCCTGTTCTCCTGTCACTGGCCGTAATGTCACGTGTTCTCTTCTTGATACCCTCATCCAGGCAGGACGAAGGTGAGACAGCCCAGACTACACTGAAAGCAGAGACTGAGTATGGAACCTGTCCCTGGGGGCAGGGGACACCCGTCCCACGGAGTGGCGGGGAGGCCTCAAACACAGGAACCATAAGTCTGATGGAGGAGAGCACCCAGCTTGAGTGGGCTCAGCCTCACTCTGGGGACACCAATGGAACAATGACAATTGGTCAAAAACGCCCAGATTCAGCCCCATGCCGTTACAAGGCCGGGCCATTGCGCAGGGATAATTTTCCTGTGGGAGCTCACATTTGAAGCCAAACTTGCCTGTGTCCTGGTTATACTGGGGCCAAAGGAATAAAGCGGTCATCAGTTTTCTCTGTCCTTCCTCTCCAAGAGTGCTGTTCACTCTTAAATCCATTTACTCTGCTCCACTTAAGAAGTCAGGTGGTTAATGAAATAGAACTTTTGATCTCCCTTCACTACGCTTATGTTTTGTTGTTTTTTTTTAATCCTCGTAAATCTGGGTCAGCATCTTTCCTCCTAGCAAAGGGCCTAAGAAAGACGTGCCCTTCATTTGTCCTGGGTGATCCGATGTTATGTGAGGACCCCACACCGTATCACCAGTGGACGAAGTGCGAACAGCACTACCCGAACCGTGCAGTGTACCCTTCCTGAAAGTTCCAGGCCCATTAACAACGGCCGCCACCACTGCAGGTCGCTGATCCTAGCACCCCCTTCATGGGGCTACCCCAGTGTCCCATTGAGAGCCCCGAGGCATCTGCCGCCGGCACCTGGGGAAGGGGTGGCACCAGCACCCTGCACCTACTTGCGTCTCACCTGCCCCAGGAACGCTTCGGGGTTCTTCCGCCCCGTGGCCCCTGGGACCTCCGCTGCGGGGCCGCCATCTTGGCGAGGGGCCCGCGGGGACGTCCTCCTGGGCTGGACCTCCCCCCACGCCCCGCGCGCGCCGCGGTGCGCCTCACGGGGCTCCAAACCGGACGGGAGGCCGTGCGCGGGACGTAGGCGAAGACAGCGAGGGTCTGGCCCTCAGGAAGAGGGAACGACGGGAGAATGGGCCGAAGCAGCCGGGAACAGTCTCAAATGCCATCTCCACGTGACGTGCCTCCATTCTCCCCGCCACACCCCCTGCTCGTCCCCGGCCTCGACCCACTACCTACTTTCCGAGTACCGTGTGGGCCCACGCCCAGGGGAAGAGCGGCCCCCACCGCTCCCGAACGCCGGCTGTGCGCAGACCCCCGAGCCGCGTGGCCTAGGCCGGGCAGGGGGCGGGGCGAGCGGCGGTGACGCGGCCGTTGCCATGGGAACCCACCGCCCGCTCAGGCGCAGGAGCCGAAGCCCGAGCCGGAGCTGCCGCCCGCCGCCGGCTGTCCCGCTGCCCGCCCGCCCGTTTCGGGCTCTCCCTGCGGGGCGGTAGGGGAGCCGGGCTGGAGGAGGGGAGGGAGCAGATGCTGCCTCCGAGCCGAGACCGGTCCCGCACGTCCTGAGCCGAGGCCCCGCAGCCGCCGCCCCGGCAGCGAGGAACGAGGACAAGCGCGGAAACAGCGCCCGCCTGGCCCCGG